CAGCATCATCTGATTCGGTGGCCAGCATCATCTGATTCAGTGGCCAGATTCAGTGGCCAGCATCATCTGATTCAGTGGCCAGCATCATCTGATTCAGTGGCCAGCATCACCTGATTCGGTGGCCAGCATCACCTGATTCGGTGGCCAGCATCATCTGATTCGGTGGCCAGCATCATCTGATTCGGTGGCCAGCATCATCTGATTCGGTGGCCAGCATCATCTGATTTGGTGGCCAGCATCACCTGATTCGGTGGCCAGCATCGTCTGATTCAGTGGCCAGCATCTTGGCACAAAGAGGAGAGTGGGCAGGAGCAGAAGCACCCATAGTGCAAAGGTGACGGACATGCAGCAAGTGAAGAAAGCATGAACTGGATATCAATGGCAACTAAACACACTTCACCAGGGGTCTTTCTAACTTTCAGCGTTCATTCTGGATTTCTTCAATTATAAGCCCATGACTTAAAAGCAGTCCACTTCAAAAGTGCAGATAATTTAGACAATTATTTAAATGAGGGGTTTTAAATAACTGTTCTTTTTCTTTTTATACAATATTATTTGATAATGTTTTTCCTCACTTCTCCTAGATCCTTCCCATCTCCCTACTCACCCAATTTATGTTCCCCCCAATGTTGTTCTTGTTATTTTTTTATTTTATTTTCTTCCATTTCAGCATATGTGTAGTTTGCACATATGTGTATGGATGTTTGCCTGTGTGTAGGCACATGCATGCTTGTGGGTGGGTGTGTATATAGGTGTGTATGCATACGGGAGGCTCAACGTTAATGTTTGGAATCATCCTGCATCCCACTTCATCCTATTCATTGAAGCAGTTCTCTCTCAGTGAAACCCTTAACTCACCGATCTGCCCTGTCTCCCCAGTCAGCTTGCTCTGGGTTCCAACCTTTGCTTTCTAAGGCTGGATTACAGGCAGGCTGCCACATCCATCTGATATTTATGTGGGTTCTAAAAATCCAAACTCCAGTCAGCACTCATGTTTGTTTAGAAAGCACTTTAACCACCAATCATCTCCCCAGTCCCTTTGAAAATTTTTGCATGCGTATATATGTATATGTTATATGTTCATATTGATGTGGGTGTATTCATGTATGTGTGCACAAGCACATGTGTGTGCATGCATGTGTATGTTTGTGAAGGTCAGACGCTCGTGTATGTTATGTGTCTTATTTGATCTCTCCACCCCTTATTTTTTGACATAGGGTTTTCCCTGTGTCTGGAACACATCAGTGTGGAAATACTGACTGGGAAAGCCACTGGGTTCTGGGGATCCACTTGTCTTCCCTACAACACTGGAGTTACAGATCCAGGTTGCCCTGCCCATCTGGGTACTGGGGATACAAACTCAGGTCCTCAGTCTGGCACAGTAAGCATTTTACACCCGAGCCGTCTTCTCAGCCCCACTGTGTTTCCTTTAAAGGTCATTCTTTAATCTTCTTCAGGACTACATTACTAAAAATCCAAGAATTATGTGCCATAAATAACTGAGCATCCACCGAGAAACCCTGTCTCGAAAAACAAAAACAACAACAACAACAAAAAAGTGAACAGCAAATGAGAAGGCCACTGTACCTGTCTGTGTGTGAGAAACAGTGGTTTTGAGATGAAGATGCTCAGGCTCCATCTCTGCATTGCTCCTTAAAAACAATGTCCCCAAATCTCCAGTGATTCCCAGCCATGTCAGAAGCTTCTGTCCACCCTGCCACATACACTTTACATCTCTGTAGTTCAACTGTGAGCCATGGGA